CTCTCTCTTCCTCTGTGTGTGTGTGTGTGTGTGTGTGTGTGTGTGTGTCGCCAGTGGAGGGGGTGAAGGAGGGGAGAAAGTGAGGATATGTGGGTGTGTACACAAACAAGCACAGAGGCACATTTCATGATTGAGTATTGTCTTCTCCTCCCAGCTGCCCTCGCCGTTTTGTGGACACGATATCAACTTGTGTTTCATTGGTGGTGTTTGATGTTGTCTTGCAGACGAGGGGCTTGAAAGAAGGTCGTGCTGTGGTAGTCTCAACATGTGCGGCTGTTGCATCAATTGTCACGGGAGTTCTAGTTGGAATGGTTGCATTAGGAGAATCTCTGCCACAATCTTTTTTGTTGCGCTTCATTCGTTTCTTGAGTTGGTATGTTCTATATTTGTGTGCCTCTGTTCCCCGAGCTGTTGCCCAAATTTTTTTTTTGCTGGGACCTTCTGTGGTCGTTGCACGGTGGGGCTGCCGGGGAAAATAGGGCGACCTGGGCGGCCCGGCTGGTAATCTAGAGATGCATGCGTGAATCTTATGTTCGCTAAATACGAGTTTGCTGCCTTGGTTGAGAAGATGACACAAGCTCGACTGTTTCGGCCGTCACCGACTCACCGGTATACATTGCATAGGTAACCCAACCACACCTCTGCGGTGAGAGAAGGGACCGCAGTTCAGGTACACAAATTATGAAGTTGGTCATGGAGATCAGGTACACTAGAGTGGTTAAGCAGGTGTTGCCTGGAGCACTAGAGTGGTGAAACAGGTCTGGCCTGGTACACTAGAATGGTGAAATAGGTCTAGCCTTGATACACTAGAATGGTGAAATGGGCCCTGCAGATCAGATACACTAAAATGCTGAAATAAGGCTTGCCTCGTACACTAGAATGGTGCAATAGGTAATGCAGATCAGATATTCAAGAATGCTGAAGTAGGTCTTGCCTGGCACACTAGAATGGTTCATAGGTCTCGCCTGGTATACTAGAATGCTTAAATACGTGGCTTAAAAAAATAAGTCTAGCCTGTTACACTATAATGGTGAAATGGTTCATGCAGATCAGGTACACTAAGATGGTGGAATAGGTCTAGCCTGGTGCACTAGAGTGATGAAATAGGTCTAGCGTGGTTCACTAGAATGGTCAAATTAGTCCTCTTGAAGATGAAGTAACCACCATTACAACTACTAGAACTGCTTGTACTTTGAGTGTCAACATTGGAGTCTGGGTTTGGCACAATGGTTGCTCTTTTTGTTATTTTGTAATCTTATTGGCATGATTTTTGGTCTGTCATATTTCTCGTTCCTTTTGAAAGAAGCTTCATGGCTGGGAATGCATCTGGACATGGAGTTGATTAACCGAAAGAAAATGACTTTTTTTTTGCTCTTCTTTTTGTATGCATAGTTGAGGGATCACCCGCTGATTGTGGAGAGCGAAGTGTGTAGGAATTGCCGTATCTGTGTTGTGTGCGTTGAGTTGGACACTACAGCCTTGCAGGGGTGGGGTGGATATCACCCGGATCCACTTTTGAACACCGTGTCCTGGACGTAGTGGTTAAGATACTTGGCTGTCGAGGCCAAGGTCGCCGGTTGGAATATGTGCTTGGACGGAGGAGGGCTTAGGCTCAGATGTATGGATTCATCGCTACGATAGGACAAGTGTGATTGTGTGTGCCATTATGTTTGTGTTCGTGGTCGAGGGTCGGGGGTCGGGGGGGTTATGGTGAGGGTGTTAGTGGTGGGGTTTCAGCAAGCACGGGCTTCAGCAGACATTTCTGCAGACGTTAACCTTCCGCCCAAAAACTTTGAAAAGGGGGCTGGGTGTGTTAGTGGCAGGGTATGGACTGGTTCCCACCCAAAAACGTTGAAAAGGGGGGTGGGGGTGGGGGTGGGGGTGGGGATTATGGTGAGGGTGTTAGTGGTGGGGTTTCAGCAAGCATGGGCTTCAGCAGACATTTCTGCAGACGTTAACCTTCCGCCCAAAAACTTTGAAAAAGGGGCTGGGGGTGTAAGTGGCAGGGTAGGGACTGGTACTTCCCACCCAAAAACTTTGAAAAGGGGGGTGGGGGTGATAGTGTTAGGGGGGTGCTTGTCACTGCTGTCTGGTCCAAGCTGCCCTCGATACTGGTAGGGTGATGGTCCTGAGTGCTGGTCACACCGAGGTAGGATTGTAGGGATAGGGGTGCGCTGGGAGCACGAACGTGGGGAATGGGTAGGGAAGGTGGCCTATCCTGTCAGGACAACCACCGGCTGCGGCCGCCATCGATCACCGTGGGTCTAGTCCTTGGGCTCTACAACACTTGGGCTTAAGGAAAGAAAAGGCAAAAAAAAAGATGCCTATGGCCAACTGAGGGGGAACTGGCCCGGTCGACCGGCCGGTAGGACCGGTCCGGTTCCAGTTGGGGGAGGGCCGCCCGGTCCTACCGGGTTTGCAGCACTGGAAAAAAGGGATTTTTTTATTATTTTTTTTAAGCAGAGGAAAAAGAAAGACTGTGCTGTGCATGCTTACGTGATACATTGCTATAGATGTTAGGCCCAGTACTTACTTGTCCCTGTGTTGATTTGTGTTTGTTTGCAGGATGCTAATTGTTGGCGGTGTTGTACTCCTTGTAAATATGGGCAAACCAACGATGCTTAGGCGTTACATGCGTCGATGTGCGTTTTGGCTGCGACCCCGTTCAAGTCAGCGTGCAGTACCATTGACAACCCCCTCCCAGGCGTAGCCGAGTAGTGGATGTGTCAGTTTATCGTGTTTTTGTTGTAGCTGAAGTTCCAAACCACCAGCTGTGCTGGTTGTGTATAGAGGTATGTAAAGTCTCATCAGCAGTGCTGTGATTTTGCCACTGTTGTCGTTGTGCTTCCAGTGCACAGATGCAGAGTTTAGCAGTGCCGCTGTGAATGGTATTACCTGTCTTCTTGAGGTTGGAGTTGTTTTCAACCTTGTATTGAGTGCACTCTGATCATGGCCATATGTATTTGCAGCATCTGCCTGGTCTGTTGATAGAAACTATTAGAAGGGTGAGAAATGCAAGGAAGGCGATATATATCTGTTTGACGATATTTGATGATATGATATATGATATATATCTGCATAAGATCGGAGAGTTGATTCTCGACTGTTTCAAAGTTGCAGCACTTGCACATCTAGCGATAGCGATCAGTTTGCAGCACCTGTCTTTCTATATGAACTACTTGAATAGTAGTAGAAAGGCCAGGTGCACAAGAGCTCATTCACACAGAACAGAAGGCAGGTGGTTGAGTTTTGGCTCAACGCGTTACAGTGGCCGAAGAAAGCCCTTAGACTATGGTAGTGTTGTATAGCATTGTGGAGGCAGCAAGGGCTTTCTCTGCGAATACATCGATATGATCCAGTTTGTGTTGCGAAGGAGGAATTGCTTTGCTGCTGAGGCAACAGTTGGGAGGGAGGCGGTCACCTGTTTCTGACCTTGGCTCGAAGGAAATGCTGCTTCTCGAGTAGCAAGGGTGCGCTGCAACCCATCTAGTCTTGGGTTTGGAGTTCCTCTGGAGTGAAAGCGCTCTTTCTCTGTAGAGACGACCAGGCCGCATGTAGACAACACCAAGAGGCACATTCATGTTGCAAATCCTTGTGGCTTGCGTTGCCCTCTTGCAGCGCATGCATCAGAGGAGCTCATTTCGAAATGATTGGATGGCAATGGCAATCTGACAACATCAGTTTATCATCCCTCGCTTGAGACATTCCGCATTATTGAAGCACCGTTTGGAATTCGCGAAGTCTGCGTGCCTCTGCTGGATCAGCAGATTCAGCACTCCATGCAGACCTAGAGAGGTCTGTGGCTTCATCGAGTTCAGTGTCGATTGGCAAATTTTGGTCGTGCGGAGTCGGTCTTCACTCAGACATACAAGACAAACTGAGAACAGGAGCTGTAGAGGTATACAGGGATAAAGAACCAAATGACTGGATGAGCTTCTGGCTCATGGTCGGGAGTAGCTCACTGTAGGAGGACCCTGGGAATGCTGTGATGGGAGGGCAAGGATAGAGTACCCGCTGGCTGGAATGATAACTTTTATTTCGGTACCTAAAACTGGTGGCTTTAGGGGGTGTACGGTGTTCTTCTGGCTCATGGTCGGGACTAGTACTCTGTAGGAGGACCCTGGAAATGCTGTGATGGGATTGCAAGGATAGAGTCCCCATTGACTGGACTGGTACCTAAAACTTTTCATTTTGGTACCTCAAACTGGTGGCTTTAGGGGGTGTACGGTGTTGTCTCTAGGGTACCAAAATATGGCCCATACTTCGGGTCCTATTCTGGAGTGGATAATTGCCCAGGTATTAATTTGTCATACCTGAGCAATCCGTTTTCACAACCTTCCAGTGTAGGATTCCTTCCGCGATCAAAGAAGCGGTCTCCCATGCACCGAGCTCTACAATCAAGTATGGAGTCTATGGACAGAGTTTGCGTTGTCGAGGCTATATGTTGTAGAGGTGCAGTTCTACAGAGTTTGCGTTGTCTAGGCTATATGTTCTAGAGGTGCAGTTCTACAGAGTTTGCGTTGTCGAGGCTATATGTTGTAGAGGTGCAGTTATCGGAAGGCAGGAAAAGGCTCGTTATCCGGTTTGGGATGGCATCATGAACACTGTGTTTGCAGTTGTAGAGTGGTTGGGCAGATGCTATTTTGCATGTACGTATGCGCACAGGTGCACAACGCAGTAGGTCCAAGGTTTATGTGACTGCCACACCCTTGTGGCAGTTGAAACACACACACAGACACACACACACACACACACACACACACACACACACACACACACACACACACACACACACACACAGGCATGCACCAAGGTGGGGATGATGCAGCACAATGGAAAGGAATAGACAAGTGGTGATTTGCTAGGATGTAATGATTGGCATGCCACGAGTGGACAGATGATGATGTGGAAGAAATAATGCCGCAACATCTAAGTGTCTCATTAAGTTGGAAGGTAATGTTTGCTTGATGATCGTGGTGAGCTGCCTTGATGATGGATAGCAGGACGAATGAATTGAAAAGCGAGGATGAAACTGACAGGTGTGGATCTGCATGTACATGAGAAGGACTTTGTCGGCAGTGGACTGCTGGAAGGACCGATGATGTATGATGCGTTGATTGACAAACGAGTAGAGGAGATTGTGGCTCTTGTGCGTTCCTCTCCTCTGAGCTAGTGTCGAAGAGGTTGAGTATTTGATATGAAGTATTGTGGCACAAGCCTGCTGCCACTCCGTCGGTGTGGTACAAAGGGACATGATAGGCCTCTTGCCATTCCGGCGAGAATGACTTTCTCTTTTGCGGCGGAAAGGCTTATTGACCAATGGAAGGACTGATGATGTATGATGGATGGATTGACTAGGTCGCACGTTGCACAGATTGTGCCTTCTCGCTCTCTGTGAGAGAGTGTCGAAGAGCTCAAGTACTGAACCTGAAGTATTGTGTCGTGAGCAGGTTGGCACGGAGGTGCGGCAGTGCACATCCGGATTGCAATCTTTCTCAGCGAGTCGAGGGAGCAATGGGAAATGGTTGGCCTCTTGCCGTCACAGCGAATGTCTGTCTCCTTAGCAGACACCGACCAGCAGGGTATCCTCTCACTAGCCCATAGCAACGTCATCCTTGAGGTTCGGTTCCCTGTCGCTTGTCCTGGTTTCCTCAGTCACTTGCATGCTTTGCGCTATACGATTCTTTTTAATTATTTCCCTTCTTCCTAGATCACAGGCTGCTGCCGCCTTTTCTGCTTTGATATCAACTGCTGCATCTGAACTTCTGAAGGTTAAAACCTGTTTTGCTGCTGGTTCCTATGTCTCGTCGTGAATCCGAAAGGTGTGAAGCCGCAGGAGTGGACAATGTGGTCATTGTGGTGAAGGGGGAAGCTTCTACTGGCTCTGTGACAATGTGGTCATTGTGGTGAAGACCCTGAAGGGGGAAGCTGCTACTGGCTTTATGAGCCCATTGACACAACAGTGAAGAGGAGGGCAGTCCCTGATGATCTAGCATAATGAAGTATCCAGTTCTGGTTTCCAATGAGGTAATGAAATAGGAGAGACGGGGAATGTGGTATTTCAGTGGATTGAGGAGGGGCTGTGGAGGTGGGGTGCGTTCCGATGGGCAAGTGTGCTCAAGCGGCCCAAGTGAAATGGTGGAAAATTTTGTGGGAAGCATTGGCGTGGAGCCCAAAAATAGTTGTGACAGAGATGGAGAGGTGGTGAGTTTTGGTGGGTTGTGTGCGATGCAATCCATCTGATCTGTTGGATAATGTGTGACATTGTTAGATGAGCAATTGGAAGCTCATTTAAAGTTAAATAATTCGGTATGAATTTACGAGAGTTTCTGTCAAATCAGTCTCTCTCCCTCCCCCCCCCCC